TGACTATTTACAACGCATTTAGAGCTTACAACGTTTGTTAACCTTTAGACAACGGATGTGCATAAAGTTTAGATTGCGACAACGAATTGTTGCAATGTTGACAAAGTTGCGTGGCCTACATTACATGTTGTTGTTGTATGTTTATACTTGATAACGGATGTTATTGAACAATTTGATGTCAATTTGGTACCAGGCGTGTATATTTTTTTTTCCTCTGTGTACTGACTGACTAACCGACTCATCAACGCGAAGCCAAAACCGTTGAAATTTGGTAATGAGATTGGTCTCCCACCAAAGACTAGACTATAGAATAGACTATAGACTAGACTATAGACTAGACTATGGACTTGACTATAGACTAGACTATAGACTAGACTATAAACTAGACTATAGAATAGACTATAGACTAGACTATAGACTAGGCTATAGACTAGACTATAGAATAGACTATAGACTAGACTATAGACCAGACTATAGACTAGACTATAGAATAGACTATAGACTAGACTATAAACTAGACTATAGACTAGACTATAGGCTAGACTATAGATTAAACAGTAGACTAGACTATAGATTAGACTATAGACTAGACTATAGACTAGTCTATAAACTAGACTATAGACTAGACTATAGACTAGACTATAGACTAGACTATAGACTAGACTATAGACTAGACTATAGACTAGACTATAGACTAGACTATAGACTAGACTATAGACTAGACTATAGACTAGACTATAGACTAGACTATAGACTAGACTATAGACTAGACTATAGACTAGACTATAGACTAGACTATAGACTAGACCATAGACTTGACTATAGACTAGACCTATAGACTAGACTATAGACTAGACTATAGACTAGACTATAGACTAGACTATAGACTAGACTATAGACTAGACTATAGACTAGACTATAGACTAGACTATAGACTAGACTATAGACTAGACTATAGACTAGACTATAGACTAGACTATAGACTAGACTATAGACTAGACTATAGACTAGACTATAGACTAGACTATAGACTAGACTATAGACTAGACTATAGACTAGACTATAGACTAGACTATAGACTAGACTATAGACTAGACTATAGACTAGACTATAGACTAGACTATAGACTAGACTATAGACTAGACTATAGACTAGACTATAGACTAGACTATAGACTAGACTATATACTAGACTATAGACTAGACTATAGACTAGACTATAGACTAGACTATAGACTAGACTATAGACTAGACTATACTAGACTATAGACTAGACTATAGACTAGACTATAGACTAGACTATAGACTAGACTATAGACTAGACTATAGACTAGACTATAGACTAGACTATAGACTAGACTATAGACTAGACTATAGACTAGACTATAGACTAGACTATAGACTAGACTATAGACTAGACTATAGACTAGACTATAGACTAGACTATAGACTAGACTATAGACTAGACTATAGACTAGACTATAGACTAGATTATAGACTAGACTATAGACTAGATTATAGACTAGACTATAGACTAGACTATAGACTAGACTATAGACAAGACTATAGACTAGACTATAGACTAGACTATAGACTAGACTATAGACTAGACTATAGACTAGACTATAGACTAGACTATAGACTAGACTATAGACTAGACTATAGACTAGACTATAGACTAGACTATAGACTAGACTATAGACTAGACTATAGACTAGACTATAGACTAGACTATAGACTAGACTATAGACTAGACTATAGACTAGACTATAGACTAGACTATAGACTAGACTATAGACTAGACTATAGACTAGACTATAGACTAGACTATAGACTAGACTATAGACTAGACTATAGACTAGACTATAGACTAGACTATAGACTAGACTATAGACTAGACTATAGACTAGACTATAGACTAGACTATAGACTAGACTATAGACTAGACTATAGACTAGACTATAGACTAGACTATAGACTAGACTATAGACTAGACTATAGACTAATAGACTAGACGATAGACTAGACTATAGACTAGACTATAGACTAGACTATAGACTAGACTATAGACTAGACTATAGACTAGACTATAATAGACTAGACTATAGACTAGACTATAGACTAGACTATAGACTAGACTATAGACTAGACTATAGACTAGACTATAGACTAGACTATAGACTAGACTATAGACTAGACTATAGACTAGACTATAGACTAGACTATAGACTAGACTATAGACTAGACTATAGACCTAGACTATAGACTAGACTATAGACTAGACTATAGACTAGACTATAGACTAGACTATAGACTAGACTATAGACTAGACTATAGACTAGACTATAGACTAGACTATAGACTGGACTATAGACTAGACTATAGACTAGACTATAGACTGGACTATAGACTAGACTATAGACTAGACAATAGACTAGACTATAGACTAGACATAGAACTAGACTATAGACTAGACTAAAGACTAGACTATAGATTAGACTATAGACTAGACTATAGATTAGACCTATCATGTGGTATTAATAAGATATTCTTTAGTTTATCTATTTATATTTCCTATTACTTATTTATATTTAAGCATACAGTTCCCAGTTTTGTTTGCTTATTTTATATATCTAAATCTAACGGTTTTTTACAACTCTTTGTAAAATCTCTTTACAGCGGTTGATTATATTAACTAAAAAAATTTTACATTTTCTTTATTTAAAACAGCGCCATCTGATGTTTAAGAATCGCATTATAATTTGAGAGGAACACTTCCGATGCAGACCAAAAATTAGAATTTCTAGCCGCTGATGAAAACTATTAAAAAATAACGACGTTGAAAATTTTCATTATAGAAAACATTGAATACACATGATAATTTCATGAATTGTTTAATTTTTTAACCTTTTTATTATATTATACAGGCATTACACTGTGTGTGGTGGTTGCCTTCGTAACATAACCTATACTGTAAATCTGTGTAAAAAAATATTTTAAATTGTGTTCAATATTATTAATATGTAGTTTAAGAACGAAAATGTACCCAATGATCTCGTTTTATAGACTTTATTGCATTCACCGAGGTTATGTGTTTAAGAAAATACTACTTGTTACGATAATGTACCGAAAAATCCAATCATATAAATTATAATTTAATTAGGATCCTATTTATCTATGTTTTATTGATACAAAATTGTACCAGAAAGTCGAATGTTACATATTTTCAAAATGTAAATGTAAGAAATGTCTGATTTTATGTATCTAGGTTCAATATTGCAGAAATGTCCCCTTTTATAGTTACTAAAAAGTACCTGCTGAATAACGAAAATTATCCAAGAAGTTTACTCTTATAGATTCCATTATATCATTATATGCAAAGAAAAATATACATAGGTATAAAACAAAAAAGAGATTTTTTATTTTTATCTTCAATATTAAAAGATCAAAAATAACAGTTGAAGAATGAAAAAGTTCCAATTTTCACTTTTTTCTAGTTTCAACATAGGTACAAAAAATTCTAAAAGAACACTGTTATAGATTTTCAATCAAACGATACTTAAGATATTTATAGGATCAATATCATAAAAAAGCAACCAGTTGGATCACAAAAAGCACCGAGAGGATCACACTTGCAGTTTTTCTTAAAAAAAACAGTACTATATACTATATATGTTTTAATATCATATCCAAGAAGTTAGAGTGCTATATTCTGCTATGGCGTATCGTAAGCTACTTATTATAAAAATCAATCTAAATATTATTAAATTTTGAATGTTTATAGGCCAGTCCATATTCCTATTGAACGATGAGGTTATATGGGATTCAAAAAAAAAATTGGGTGTAATTTTATACAAAAAAAGTTATTTATGTGGAATTTTATTCCGATCAATGAAATATGTGCGTTGAGATGATTTTCGGATATACGGGAGATATGACCATTTATGGACCGATACAGAAGAAATTTCGCAGTGATGTTTATATACACTTTAGTTAAGCCCCCTTCACACGAGCACATAAGTAATATGATCTGTCAAAATTTTGTGTAGATCATCTAAACGAAATATCTAATGAAACCATCACACATTGAGAGAAAATACGGATGCAAAATTTGCCAGTCGTATGACCCTCTTCATTTTTTTGAAATAATTAAAACAGCCAGCAAGTTGCATTAGATTAGGGAAGTATTTTTATGTTAGCACATACAAAAAAGTAAAACAGCTGTTTCCATAGTACTTTGTTATAGTTTTATACCAATCGTGTAAACACAAAAAATATAAATCATACGACTTTTTTTAGTCCTGCGGATGGAATTTCATTTCACTTTTTCTTTCAGGCTTTACGTACGTAAAGTGTGATCGTGTAAGGGGCACTTTACATGGTTGTCGAAATGGTGCATGGTCGGAATAATTTGTAGAGTAATATATCTTGATGTCGAATTTAATTCCGATATCTTTATTTCTTAATTATTTAAGTAAATTTAAGTTATTTTCGCAAGTGGACTTTATATATGGGAGCTATTGTAGATCGATGCAGATCTAGATTGGTAAAATGATATCTATGGATGGATCATTATATTTACATTTACAAAATATGTGGTCATTCCGATATTTTTTGAGGAATTATTAAGGATAAATCCATTTCCTGGAATATTTTCCTTTGTATGGGGGCTATGGGAAATTTTGAATCGATTGTTTTGATTTTGAACATACCAGTTTTTACCAGTCAAAATTACGTTCACGGTGGTCTAGTGCTTTGTTGGTTTATTATGTCCAAATTTAAAATACGGTTATTATATCACTTATGGTAATAGAACTGACATGATTACTTAAAGGTAAGGACGACAGTCTAGTTTGCTTTTTCACTAGATTTTACAAAAATTAAAATTGTATATTTGTTTCATTCCACTGAAAGCTGTTTCTCAGACGCCGTTTACAGTTTTAGCATTTGACGACGCCGTCAATTACTACTTTTGTCGGCGTTGTTCTCTGGCACGCAGTCAAAGAGAAGCAACTGATAAAAGAAGACGAGTGTAAAGCGAAAAAGTGAAAAAATTTGCACTTTTTCACAAGAATTTCATTGAGATTTTTGTGCTGCCGGTAGAGCAGTAAAAAAAGAAAATATTTCAACAGATTTTGTAACTGCAACAATAAGAAAAGTTTATAAAACTAAAGAAAACTAATTAATAAAATAATTTTCAATTGGAAAACGTGAAAAACAACAAGTTTAAACGAAAACTAAACAACGTGGTTGAAAAAAAAGGAAAAGTACGAATGACGAGAAAATCATATAGAAAAAAAATTATGCAAAAAAAAGTAATTTCGTTGACAAGTGTGTGACAACGGAATTTAAGTAAATTTTAAAGAACAAATTTGCGAACAAAGAAAAAAAACGGCTGGAAATTTAAGATAAAATTATAAATTTTAAGCATAAAAAGTTAAATATACAACAATAACGTAATATTTTAAAGCAAAAGGATAAGAAAAACTAAAAAGAAAGTTTAATAATGAAGACAGCTGTTTGATAGAAACAAAAGAAAAAAATAGGAATCATCAAAAAAAGAAGAAACCTTCAGCTTTTTTTCCAACATTTTCTTTTAGAATTTTTTGCCATTTGTGGGGAAAAGGCTTAAAAAAAGAACAAACAACAACAACAATAAGAAATCATAAAAGCAGCAGTTTTTAAATAAAGAAATAAAAGTAAAACGTAAAAAATAACTAAAAAAACAAGAACAACAAAGTCAGACATTAAAGAAGAGCAAAAAAAAAAAAAAAGCATAAAAAATTTGCAAAAATATAAAAACACAAAAAGAAACAAGACTACGAAATAAACAACAAAACAAACTACAGCAACAATTACATCAACTGACCCAAAATAACAAAAACAACAACAATAATAAAGCAACCAGCAAAACAAAAACAACAAAAAAACCAAAATGCTTAAATTGCTAAGTTAATTTTTTGTCTTTTTAAACAACATTCAACCAAAAATTTTTAAATATTTTATTTTTTCTGTTCTTTATTTTGTTAATTATTAATTTCTTTTCGGTTTTTCTTTTTTTGGTAAATTTTTATTATTTTTTTGCATTAACAATTTCTTTTGTATTTGTTTTGTGGTTTATTTACATTTGAAATAAAGCAACACCCCAACAATAACAGAAACAACAAACTTTTTTCACTTTATCTGACCCCCCCGCAAATCCCATACAATATTTCTCTTGAACAAAATCAATCAGTTATTGTTTTTGTTTTGACATATAAAAGAGTTTTACAAAAACAAACTAGAAATAATCTCCCTTGTTTCTTTTTTAAGATTTGTGCGTAAAATGTCTGTCTGATTGTTTGTCGTTTTATCAACTGTGTCTGTTATTAACGTCTGTCTGAATGTCATCTAACAGTGTGGGTTTAGTGATTAATTCATTATTGTTTATATTTTAATTAAATATATTATTATTATAATTATTAGTTTTGTTTTTGCCATCACTTCATTTTGTTGTTTATTTTTGTATTTCGTATAAAATTTTTATTTAAATTTAAAAAATAAAACACTACCCAGCAAAACAACAACATAATAAATTAATAATAACAATAAATATTAATAGTTTTAACCAGCAATTATAAAATAATAATAGTGAACGCCCGCCGTTTTAGAGTCCTCCTTTTTAAACAAATAATAATCGATATAACAAATAAAAAAGCTTAAATTTAATTTATTAAATCTACAGCCACAATAATAAATAATAATATAAATTATTAGCAGCTTTAAGCAGCACTTAATTTTCTCTAAGGATTTTTAGAACGCCAAGCGCAACGTTTTCTACTACCACAACAGTACGCCCCGCTCCCACCAACTTGTCTTAAATTTGTGCTTTTTTTTTCTGGACTTTGTCTTTGAGATAAACTTCTTCGTATTTTTTATAAAGAAACACTTACTTTTTTTTAACAAATAAACAAGGTAAATATTAAAAATTGTATTTTTAAATATTATAATTTTATATTAGAACTGTTATTGCAATGAAATTTAGCACAGACAAATATTATAGCTACAGTACAAATCTACAGTACAAATCTATCCAGCCCATTTTGTCGGGATCGGTCCACATTTGCTCCTATCACGCATATAAAGCCTCTTTCAGAAATAAGTTTTTCGTCAATAAATTGCTTAAATAAAACTGAATCAATGTAATATTCAAGATAAATGCTTTATTATGAAAAATATATCACATTTAATATTCACAACTGGGTATCATATGGATGGCCAAGACCGACTATACTTTCTTACTTGTTTTAAATTAAAATTTTGCGAATTTGTAAAGTATATCTTTATAGGAATATGTCAGTGTTTAGTTAATTAGTTAGTTAGTTAGTTAGTTAGTTAGTTAGTTAGTTAGTTAGTTAGTTAGTTAGTTAGTTAGTTAGTTAGTTAGTTAGTAGTTAGTTAGTTAGTTAGTTAGTTAGTAGTTAGTTAGTTAGTTAGTTAGTTAGTTAGTTAGTTAGTTAGTAGTTAGTTAGTTAGGTTAGTTAGTTAGTTAGTTAGTTAGTTAGTTAGTTAGTTAGTTAGTTAGTTAGTTAGTTAGTTAGTTAGTTAGTTAGTTAGTTAGTTAGTTAGTTAGTTAGTTAGTTAGTTAGTTAGTTAGTTAGTTAGTTAGTTAGTTAGTTAGTTAGTTAGTTAGTTAGTTAGTTAGTTAGTTAGTTAGTTAGTTAGTTAGTTAGTTAGTTAGTTAGTTAGTTAGTTAGTTAGTTAGTTAGTTAGTTAGTTAGTTAGTTAGGTTAGTTAGTTAGTTAGTTAGTTAGTTAGTTAGTTAGTTAGTAGTTAGTTAGTTAGTTAGTTAGTAGTTAGTTAGTAGTTAGTTAGTTAGTAGTTAGTTAGTTAGTTAGTTAGTTAGTTAGTTAGTTAGTTAGTTAGTTAGTTAGTTAGTTAGTTAGTTAGTTAGTTAGTTAGTTAGTTACTTAGTTAGTTAGTTAGTTACTTAGTTAGTTAGTAGTTAGTTGTTGTTTGTTTGTTGTTGTTTGTGTTTGTTTGTTGTTTGTTTGTTTGTTTGTTTGTTTGTTTGTTTGTTTGTTTGTTTGTTTGTTTGTTTGTTTGTTTGTTTGTTTGTTTGTTGTTTGTTTGTTTGTTTGTTTGTTTGTTTGTTTGTTGTTTGTTTGTTTGTTTGTTTGTTTGTTTGTTGTTTGTTTGTTTGTTTGTTTGTTGTTTGTTTGTTTGTTTGTTTGTTTGTTTGTTTGTTTGTTTGTTTGTTTGTTTGTTTGTTTGTTTGTTTGTTTGTTTGTTTGTTTGTTTGTTTGTTTGTTTGTTTGTTTGTTGTTTGTTTGTTTGTTTGTTTGTTTGTTTGTTGTTTGTTTGTTTGTTTGTTTGTTTGTTTGTTTGTTTGTTTGTTTGTTAGTTGTTAGTTAGTTAGTTAGTTAGTTAGTTAGTAGTTAGTTAGTTAGTTAGTTAGTTAGTTAGTTAGTTAGTTAGTTAGTTAGTTAGTTAGTTAGTTAGTTAGTTAGTTAGTTAGTTAGTTAGTTAGTTAGTTAGTTAGTTAGTTAGTTAGTTAGTTAGTTAGTTAGTTAGTTAGTTAGTAGTTAGTTAGTTAGTTAGTTAGTTAGTTAGTTAGTTAGTTAGTTAGTTAGTTAGTTAGTTAGTTAGTTAGTTAGTTAGTTAGTTAGTTAGTTAGTTAGTTAGTTAGTAGTTAGTTAGTTAGTTAGTTAGTTAGTTAGTTAGTTAGTTAGTTAGTTAGTTAGTTAGTTAGTTAGTAGTTAGTTAGTTAGTTAGTTAGTTAGTTAGTTAGTTAGTTAGTTAGTTAGTTAGTTAGTTAGTTAGTTAGTTAGTTAGTTAGTTAGTTAGTTAGTTAGTAGTTAGTTAGTTAGTTAGTTAGTTAGTTAGTTAGTTAGTTAGTTAGTTAGTTAGTAGTTAGTTAGTTAGTTAGTTAGTTAGTTAGTTAGTAGTTAGTTAGTTAGTTAGTTAGTTAGTTAGTTAGTTAGTTAGTTAGTTAGTTAGTTAGTTAGTTAGTTAGTTAGTTAGTAGTTAGTTAGTAGTTAGTTAGTTAGTTAGTTAGTTAGTTAGTTAGTTAGTTAGTTAGTTAGTTAGTTAGTTAGTTAGTTAGTTAGTTAGTTAGTTAGTTAGTTAGTTAGTTAGTTAGTTAGTTAGTTAGTTAGTTAGTGTTGACTTGTCCATCATTCACTCATTCGCTTGTCCGTTTACTCCATATTTCACATATTCAAAAACTAACCTATTGACTAATCCCCATACTAGTCCATTGATTAAGTTGTTGACCTATACACAGAATAGTAGACTGACTAGCCTATGGACTAGACTATCGTCTAATCTTTAGACATATTTATAGCTAGTCTATTGATTACTCTTTAGACTTCCCAGTATTGTAAACATTAGTCTATGAAAGTTTTGTTTCTAAAATTATGGACTAAGCTATAGAAAGGATAATTTACTGCTATCTAAAATCCTAGTATATTGTCCTTCAAAATATCAATATTTTGTGTTTTCTGTTCCCTTTCATCTTTACTAATCCTGTTTAAATTGAACCCCATGAGATATCCTTTGAGGTACAAACTAGCAAAGACAATGGCAGTTGGAAAGCTTTATAAACTATGTATATATTTGGAAAAGGTCTAAGATATAGGTAACTTTTTTATGTAAACGTGCTATTATTGCTTTTTATATTGTCCAATAGATAAATCTCACATTTCATAAATGGTCTTAACACCTGCAAACTCTAAGCTAACATTATGTACATTTAATTAACAAACACCTACTACTGCAACACACGTTTTTAGCAATTACATTACGAAAATTACTTTACAATATTATATCAGTGTCTTCAGTATTTAATTGAAAAAAAGTAACTTATATTGTTGTTCGTCTATAATAAAAAGAGGGCTTTGACTGTCAATTATAATCAATAATTCAGAGGCACGTAAAACAAGGTCTATGCAGTGATAAGATTTTAACATACGATGGTATTAAAAAGAAATCAATACAAATTTTTAAACAATTTTTAATATAATTAAATATATAATAATTGCAAATAAGGCTAAAAAAAAAGTAAACAATTAAATTCATAAATTGTTAATGAAAATTAACAAAAAACAAACTACCACCATTACTTAATGAGTTATTGAGCAATAAAAACTATAAAAAGTATTTGTTATGAAAATATTTATTTAATTTAATATTTGATTATTTAAATTATAATTTTTAAATATATTGAATATTATTCAAACATTAGTCTGTATTTGATTTTTATAAAATGTATTCTATTTGCAAAATGATTTGCAAAAAAATTAAAAATTTTTTAAATATTTTCAAAGACTTTAGTATGTTCTTTTAACTGATAACTTAAGTACTCTTTTTGTATGAAATTGCCAGATAAAGTCTATACATTTTTAAATATTACTCACATTATGCTTGAACAACAGAGTTTAAATTCCACTTCTAATGGAAACTACCTAAATGACTAAAAAGAAACTCTTTTGAAATCTTCAGCTGATCAAATTACAATAAAAAAAATAGTACTTTGCTATTTTCGTGTAGACAATATGGAATTATAAATGCAATAATAATCTCACGTGATAATTAAAATGAAATGTAATGAAATTCATTATTTTTCAAAAGCAAAATAATTTAATCGCTTTATGAATAAATAAATAAACAAAATTGTTTTTTTTTTTCTTATTTAAACAATTCAATTATTTTTTTGCATTAAATAGAATTTTGTAGATAATTTTGATAATTTTATCGAAAATTATCTATAAAAAGAGATTTTTTTCGAAACTTATTCTATAAAAAGAGAATTTTATCGAGTATTTTCTAAAAAATTAAAATCTTCTGGAAAATGTTCTAAAAAATGAATTTTCTCGAAAATTTTCAATATGAAATAAGAATTTTGTGGAAAATTTTCTATAAAAAGAGAATTTTCTCTAAAATTGTCTATAAAAAGAGAATTTTCTCGAAAATTGTCTATAAAAAGAGAATTTTCTCGAAAATTGTCTATAAAAATAGAATTTTCTCGAAAATTGTCTATAAAAATAGAATTTTCTCGAAAATTGTCTATAAAAAGAGAATTTTCTCGAAAATTTTCTATAAAAAGAGAATTTTCTCGAAAATTTTCTATAAAAAGAGAATTTTCTCGAAAATTTTCTATAAAAAGAGAATTTTCTCGAAAATTTTCTATAAAAAGAGAATTTTCTCGAAAATTGTCTATAAAAAGAGAATTTTCTCGAAAATTGTCTATAAAAAGAGAATTTTCTCGAAAATGGTCTATAAAAAGAGAATTTTCTCGAAAATTTTCTATAAAAAGAGAATTTTCTCGAAAATTTTCTATTAAAGAGAATTTTCTCGAAAATTTTTTATTAAAAAGAATTTTCTCGAAAATTTTCTATTAAAAGAGAATTTTCTCGAAAATTTTCTATTAAAAAAGAATTTTCTCCAAAATTTTCTATTAAAAGAGAATTTTCTGGAAAATTTTCTATTAAAGAGAATTTTTACGAAAATTTTCTATAAAAAGAGAATTTTTTCGACAATTTTCTATTAAAAGAGAATTTTTTCGACAATTTTCTATTAAAAGAGAATTTTTACGAAAATTTTCCAAAAAAAAAAAAGAGAATTTTCTCGAAAATTTTCCAAATAAAAAAGAGAATTTTCTCGAAAATTTTCGAAAAAAAAAGAGAATTTTCTCGAAAATTTTCCAAAAAAAGAGAATTTTCTCGAAACTTTTCCAAAAAAAAAAGAGAATTTTCTCGAAAATTTTCCAAAAAAAAGAGAATTTTCTCGAAAATTTTCTAAAAAAAAAGAGAATTTTCTCGAAAATTTTCTAAAAAAAAGAGAATTTTGTGGAAAAATTTCTATAAAATGATAACTTTCTTGACATTTTCTATAAAATCAGAATTTTCTTGAAATGTTTCTAGAATTTTCCCGAAAATTTTCTATAAAAAGTGAATTTTCTCGAAAATGTTTTA